TCACTGATTTGTTCACGTCACTCAACAGCGAGTGGCGGGAAGGAAAACTGTCTGATCTGCGAACGTGAGCTGGCAGGCGGCCAAACGGTCTGCCGACGTGGGCTTTGGTTCCACTTTAAAGTATCTAGTCTGACTCCTTCTTGTCTGTATTGACATGCTCTGACATTGTGGGGCATGGGAACCTCTCTCTCTCTCCTGTATAGTCTATGGCTGTGGTCTCCTACCCATTTTCCTGGGGCATCACATAGTTGAGGCCACATTTAAGTTTGGGATTGGTTGTTGGTTGTATGCACTAGTGTTCAAAATAGTACTATAGTGTGCAAATATTTCCCATAGAGATGGTGTGGTGGTTTGAAAGAAAATGTCCCACAAAGGGAGTGGCACTAATAGGAGGTGTGGTCTTGCTGGAGTAGGTGTGGCCTTGTGGGAGGGAATATGTCACTATGGGGGTGGGCTTTGAGGTCTCCTATGCTCAAGCTACTCCCAGTGTCTCAGCCCACTTCCTGTTGCCTGCAAGATTCTCAGCTACTTCTCCAGCATGTCTGCCTGCATGCTGCCATGTCCCACCATGATGATAATGGACTGAACCTCTTTACTGTAAGTGAGCCACCCCAATGAAATGTTTTCTCTGTAAGAGTTGCCATGGTTATGGTGTCTCTTCACAGCGATGGAAACCCCAACTAAGACAGATGGAGAGCAGAATGGGTCACAACCATGTCAAGGCAGAACCACTAAAGTCACACAGTCTCCATATGAGCCGGGGAACACATCAGAGACTCTATTCTGTTTCCATCAAAACAAATCCTAGGATCTCGGAGAAGTCCTTTAACCTCATCAAGCTTTAACTTCCTCGTTTGAAAAAAAATAAGAATAATACTCACTCCGTCTGAATCTTACAACTAGTGTGCCTGACAGGAATGTGTTCTTTCTGGTGAATGCCACACTATTGCAAGACACACACCAGGACCTACCAAGCGCCTGAGAAGGGAAGCCTGCTCTCACCATTCCCAGCCCCTCCCTAGGGAACATGTGCAGGACTTCCCATTTGTTGATTTTTAAAAGTAAACTTAGCTTTTGAAACCCGGAGAGCCGAGGCTGAACATGAAACGCCAGTCAAAGTGTCTGAAATACATACTTATGAGAAAACGTACTTTGTTAGTTTTACATGTGAGTGTGTGTGGTACAGGTAGGTGCACATTTTCATGTATGTGTGTGTATGTGTGGGTACATGTGTGGGAGGCCAGAGGTCAATATTCGGTGTTGTATTTGTTACTTCTCTGCTGCTGGGATAAAAACACCATGAACAAAAGACAATTGTGGAAGAGAGGGTTTATCTTGACTTACAGTTTCGGAGGGATGAGAGTCTATCATGGTGGGTGGGCACGGCAGCAAGCCAAAGACATGGTGGCTGCCTCAAGAAGCTGAGAGACCAGGTCTCAGCCACAAGCAGGAAGCAGAGAGAGCAAACCGGAAATAGGGTGAGGTTATATCATCTCTGGTGGGACAGACTTCCTTCAGCAAGGCTGCACCCCCTAAACTTCCCCAAATGGTTCCACCAACTGGGAATGAAGTTCAAATATGCAGCCCTATGGGGGACATTTCTCGTTCAAACACCCTTCTTCACCACCCCGCCATCTTGTTTGTTGGGGTAGGGTCTCTCATCAAAACTGGAGTCCATTGATTCAGCTAGACTGACTAGCCAGTGAGCTTCAGAAATCCTCCAGTCTCCCTCTCCCCAATGCTGGGACTAGAGGCACATGCCATCAATGCCATCATGCCTGTTTTTTTGTTTGTTTGTTTGTTTGTTTGTTTGTTTGTTTGTTTGTTTTTTAACCAGGCATGGTAAAATGTGGGTGCTAGAGATCTGGACTCAGGTCCTCATCATCGCACAGTAAGCATTTGACCAAATAAACCATCTCTCTAGCCCCTACTTGGTTAGTTTTTACAGGCAGAAAATTATACCCTTTATTGGTCTGTAAACTAAAATATATATAATCCACGTATAAAGAGGGAAGTCAGTCAAAGAGTTTATTGAGTCAGGTGTGGTGGCAGACACCTGAAGTCACAGCACCGAGGAGGCGGGGCGGAGGGGGGGGGTGCGGGGTGAATGGAAGCAGACCCCCTGAAAGACGAATGGCTAAACAGTCTGATTAATAAAAAACCTGGAGCCAGATATTGGGGTGAAAACTGAGCGATCAGAGAAGCAGAAAGAAGCCAGCCACATTCTTACTGCTAGTAATCCTCAGTCAAAGAGAGAACTACTTCCTGTATCCTCACGCCTATCTACCTTTCTGTGCCCTGACATCTTACTTCCTCTCTCCACCCAGCTACATCACTTCCTGTCTGTCAGTACAGACCTCCAGACCTCTATGGTTAATTAAGTGCTGGGATTAAAGGCGTGTGCTACCACTGCCCAGCTCCGTTCCCAGTATAGCCTTGAACTCACAGAGCCACTGGAAGTATCTTGTTTTTTTGATGGCCGCCTTGCCCCTTCTAAGCTGTCTTTGGTGTGGTTCTCATGAGAGTTGCTAGTAGGATATCTGTGGGCAATAGTTCCACAGTGTGATTTGCTCTGGGGAATGACAGCTGTAAGTTGTAGTTCGTGATCTGTTAATTCTGACTGCCTGGAGTGCCATGTTGAAAATGAATCCCAAGAAATACTTGACTTAAGTGTTTGGTACCCAGCCCGAAGTAGTGGGCACCATTATCAGGAACAGGTTTCTTGTCCCTGGGAAGGTGGCTCATACTATAAAGTGAAAAACTCAGAGTCACCAGGACCAATGGTTGGCAATGATAAATATGCGGATTCAAGTTTAAAAAATGGAGCTGGAACGCGATGGTCATGTCCAAGGTGTGTTCATTGCAGGGTGGTGGCGACGCCAAACAAGGCAGAGGCCAGAAAAGTTATCAGAATATAACTGGTTAGATTTTCAAGGCTCCGGGAGGCCAGACTGGATTGAGTCTGCAGGTTTGGGATGCTGAAGGGGAGGGGGAAGAGGACAGAGGTGAAGGCTGCTGACCAGGCAAACTTGTGCATTGACTTTTAACCCAGTGCTCTTTTCCATTAAATATTTATCTGGTGGACACTCTGCAAAGCTGGAGGCTTTTAACCCTTGTACCTTGTATGAAAGGGAGAATAGTGGGGCAAGGGTCCCGTTGGCTCTCGCTATTTGGAAAGAACAGTTGTATTTACCCACATGTGGCAATAGTGCATCAGATAACTGAAGCAAAGGGGAGTTACAGCCCTCTGAGACAGTCTTTAATGGCTGAGCTTAATGCTTTCATAAGCCAAGGAAAGTGAACACTAACTATATATATAACATAAGCCATCCTTTCAAAAAGGGACAGAGTGAAATGTGCAATACAGTTAGTGAGGCAATTGCTACGTATTCTTAGGAGGCAGAAAAAGGAGGATGAGGACTTCTGTCCAGTGTGGAGTAGAGGAGAAACAATGTTAAAGGCAGGGCCAGACACGGGCTCAGTGCCGTGGTTCCAGTAGGAGACACCGTTTTCATGTAACACCTCCAATTATACATCCCTGTGAATCTTCATCGTCGGTTCGACTGGGTTTGGAATTGCCAAGGGCATACACAGCTGGCCATATCTTGGAGATACTTCTAAAGAGGTCTCACTGAGCTCCAGTGCTCATCTCCTCTTCCTTCTGCCTGCAGATGTAATGTGACCAGCTGCCTCACAATCCTGCCACCAAGATCTCCTTACCAAGTGGACTCTTCCCTCTTGATCTAAGAGCCAAAATTAATCCTTTCTTCAGACACATTCTTGTCAGGTGTCCAACCCTAACGATGAGAAAAATGACTCTATAATCGCAAAGGAAGATACGTATTATGTAGAATCACATCCTTTGTATGCACTCTGAAGGAATCGTAGACAATCATTCTCTTACAATTTACGTCCATCATTCCTTCTTTCTTGCTTTGATATTGAGATGTTCTTAGCTGAGCATGTATGCCCTACTTGACCTGACATGTCTCTTAAGAGCGTGGTGCCTGACCCTTCTGTTAATAACTCACTTTTATGATTTAGAATTGAATGTTATCTAGAGGCTCATACATTAAAGGCATATTGTCCAATGGTGCTGCTGGGATCTAGGGAAATCTTTAGGAAATGGGACTTAGAGAAAGGCCTTGAGTTTGCTGGAAGCAGAGTAGGTGGATCCTGGCCCTTCTTCTTCCTGCCTCTCGTTCCCTAGCGATGCGGTCAATGGTTTTGTTCCACTGTGCCCTGCAGCAGCAGTGACGCAGGAGCATTAAGGCCAGCAGACCACTGACCTCCAATACTATGAACCAAAATAAAGCTTTGTTCTTTATAAGTTAATTATCTTAGGTATTTCACTGCAGTAACTAACACATTCCCTTTGTATCTGCCCTCACATTCATTCGCTCAGAGCAGAACAGAGAAGCTAGCTCTTTGCTCACTAGCCAAAAACAAAATTATTGGGACCAAACCATGTCAAACGGCATCCTTTTCTCCATAGAGCACAGCATATTTCAGAGCTGTCTGGGATCTCCTTGTAGAGGAAAATGAGCATGCTGTTTAAGAATGATGTTGAGCCAGGTGGTGGTGGTGCACGCCTTTAATCCCAGCACTTGGGAGGCAGAGGTAGAGGCAGGCAGATTTCTGAGTTCAAGGCTAGCCTGGTCTACAGAGTGAGTTTTAGGACATCTAGGGCTACACATAGAAGCCCTGTCTTGAAAAACAAACAAACAAACAAACAAACAACAGAAAAGATGGTAAGTTCATTCATAGCTGGCTGAATGGCTATTTCTTTAGAGTTGATGGCTATCTGTTACTTAGAAGGAAAATAGCAGGTCTTTGTTCTCTGACATGGATAGAGATTTAACTCAAGAACAGGTGTGAAATGGAGATAGAGTGTTGATCAGATGTTACGGTTTGAACCGCTAAGCTCATGAGTTTGAACCCTTGGTCTTCAGGTAGGAGTGCTGTTTGGGGAGGCTGTGGAATCTTCAGGAGGGGTTAACCTGAGGAAGTGGGTTCCTGGGGAGCTAGCCTTGAGCTAGCCCGAAGCCACCTCTACTAGACTCCCTGCTTTCTTTCTGCTGTTGAGATGGAACAACTATACAACAAGTCACTGTGCCTTCCCTGCCGTGGCGGACTCACACTCCCCACAATGGCGGGCCCGTTTAAATCTTTGAAGTTGCTTCTGTTGGGTGTTCTAATCACAGCAATGAGAAAGCGACTAATATATCAGACACACACATATGGAAAGGTTAAGTAAAACCAAATAAGAGATGCCAACTGAATGAATGATAAACAAAAAGCAAAAGAGTGCCCATGTAACTGTAATAACAAATTTCACCCTTAGCCGTGTATTAGACACCACGGAGAACAGGTTTAAAAGTAGTAATACCTAGGCCGGGCGGTGGTGGCGCACGCCTTTAATCCCAGCACTCGGGAGGCAGAGCCAGGCGGATCTCTGTGAGTTCGAGGCCAGCCTGGGCTACCAAGTGAGCTCCAGGAAAGGCGCAAAGCTACGCAGAGAAACCCTGTCTCGAAAAACCAAAAAAAAAAAAAAAAAAAAAAAAAGTAGTAATACCTTCGCAGTTAGTTAAACTTTTAGGGAGGAATGAAAACGAAGCCGGGAAACAGTAAGATGGAGGGACACCATGACTAAGAGCTTTCTTTAGATATTATGCTTCAGCATGGGGCCAATTTATGTGACAACCACGTCAGATTGAGTTAAATGCAAACAAAGCGAGGCTCCAAAATGGTGGACACTTGCTATTACTAAGTCTATAGAAACGTACATGTAAAAACCAGTGCGACAGAGAGAGTCAAAGAAGAGTGTGCCAGGACGTCCCCAGCCATCTACCTCTGCAAACCAAGCTCTGCTTTGGACACTGATGCATGGGGAAGCAAGTCTTCAACCCATGTGCCTTTGCGGGGAACATATTGAGATCTGAATAGCAATAATGTATTAGGTAAGAAGGTCTTCTATGCCTTGTGGTTGGTTAATTACTTCGTGGGTATATTCATTCATTTAACAAGTATTTATTGAGTTTATCATGTGCTACAATAAGGCTGTACTAGGTGAACCTTAGAAGGTTCTTTCTGTTCAGTTGAAGAAGAATGTAATTAGATTCTGATTAGCCAAAGAATATTTTTTTAACATCTACCCTGGACAGGCACAGACTTACAAGATCTAGTCTAAGGTGCACACATTCCCGTCCTATGATATTAAGGACCTCAGCAGCAGTCACAGGAATTGCTGAGAAATACAGAGCATCTAGATTCCATTCTAGATGACTCGGGTCATGGGTAAGGGGGCCTTGAACAAAGGATCAAGGAAGGAAAAGAGGGAATGGCCAGGAGAGAGGGCTAAACACTGGGTGCAAGCAACCGAGAAGGCCCCAAAGCACCCACTCTTAAATTGGAATGGATGCAAACCGATAATGTAAAGGCTGGGATATTGGCCACACTTTCTCACAGAATATCCTTCTGTCTGTCTGCCTTCTCCAAGTCTATCCTGTTCTGCCTCCACTGACTCGTTACTCCACCTCCACTGAGGACAATGAAATTCTTGTTGTAGTTCTTGCTTGGTTAGAGGGTCAGTATTTTCTTTCTTTTTGCTTTTTAGATAGCAGTTCACCAAGATGTCTCCTTGATTGATACACACACAGATGCAAACACACACACACACACACACACACACACACACACACACACACACACACACACTCAAGAGCATATGTATTCAAGCAACAAGGACTGAAGTAAGTATTGATCCCATGGTTAATGAGGCCATTAGCCCAAGACCAAACCTTAAATGGGGTTCACATGGGATCCCCAGAGCCCCGTTGTGACTCTCCCATAGGAACCCTTGGCCCTAATTGCCTCCGGGGCATACCAGTCATCCAACCTTGTGGACTACATCTCTCAAGCTGAACTCACTTATGAGTATCGAGGATATTGTCTTCAGGAATTGACCAAGGCCGGTAAAGCAAGGAGCCCATACCATGATGAAACTAGTACAGTGGAGCACATAAATCCCAGAATGCCCTGGGAAGATGGTATTTATTCCCTGGATTTCTATGTATAGTCCTGTGCTAGCTAAGATAGATAAATAGATAGATACATGTATATAAATATATAATATGAATATAAGTACATATTATATATGATTAGAGAAACCTTGAGTGTGTTTATTATAGAAACGAGTAGGATAAGAATGATTGAAATTAAGTGGCTTGTCCAGCGTAGTCAAGCAGGTAATAGAGTTAAAATTCAAGCCAAAATGAACTTTAGAGCCAAGTGCGTGCTACTGTTGGGATGAATTGGCCCACACCAGCCCTGCATTTGAACAATATATTGGTCTTAAGGGAACCCCATAGCTAATGAACTACAATCTAAATTGATGAACAAGTAGGTTGTAACCTAACCAAAGAGTAACTGTTATAGCTAAGTAAGTGAGCCTCAGCCAATCACAGCAGCTAACCCCTCAGCTAACCCTAGGACAAAGGCTACCAAATTATGCCCCAATTAGACAAATCCCAGACAACACCCATCAGGTAATATCTGCATGTCCTTTCTTGTCTCTCTGGTTATTAAAATAGATCCTCACAGCATGCGTGTATATGACAGGGTAGGATAGGATGAGGGTGGGGGTGAGGTAAACTGTATTTTCAGCTGGATTGGTTCTAGAATCCATTTCCTGCTCAAATAAACTTGTTTCATTGAACTTGTTTCTTTTTCACAGTGTTTATATGACACAATTCAGTCTCCTTCTTAGAAATAGACTAATGATTAACGGGGCTCAGGAGGGTAGAGCGGGAAGCCAGAGAAGAATCAAAGGCCAACGGTGCATTAGATCAAAGTCAAGAGTCCAACACTGCCAGTCCCCACCGGGCCCTTCCCTCCTCCTCTCTCCCTGCCTGTTTCTTTACCAGTCTGGGAGAGGTGAGACCCCACAGAGACGGAGGAGACTTGAACTAGGTCTGATGATATGCCCCGAGGACACAGTTCTGTCGGTGAAATACAGGAGCCAGAACTGCCCATTCTCCTCCAGTAGGAAGAGTTCCTACTGAATGGGAAGTAGGCGTTTGGTGCAGAGCACTTACGTCTTCATCACAGCAGATACTCAGACCAGACTGTTCAATAACAGTCGCTGTTGCAGATCGGGAGAGCAAAAAGAAGGCACCAGATGCCCAGACAGAGTCCACAGCTGAAGTTAAAAGTGTTGTTCGAATCTAAGATGGTCTTACACTAAAAAGCCCAGAGTCAGATATCAGGGTGAAAGCTGAAAGATCAGAGAAGCAGAACACCCAGCCGCTAGTTCTTACCTCTATGAAATCCTCAGCCTAAAGAGAATGCGTTCCTGTTTCCTCACGCCTTATATACCTTTCTGCCCAGACATCACTTCCTGGTATTAAAGGTGTGTGTGCTTCCCAGTACTGGGATTAAAGGCATGTGCCACCACACCTGGCTCTGTTTCCAGTGTGGCCTTGAACTCATGGAGATACAGGTGGATCTCTGACTCCTGAGTGATGGGATTAAGGTTCTGTGCCACCACTGCCTGACCTCTATGACTAATCTAGTAGCTGGCTCTGTCCTCTGATCCTCAGACAAGTTTATAGGGTACAGAATATATCACCACACAAAGGAGTACTGTGTGCATGAAGGAGGCTGAGAAAGGGGTCTGAGAAGCCCCGAGGCTCCCACCAAACCTCAGCTTCTGCGATGCCTGGCTCAGAGTCTGCAGAATGAACACACGAAGCCAGTGGGTGCTTTTGACTTTAGATAGGATTCAGGAAGTTGAGATGGCATTTCAGGGAAGAGGGACATGTCAGTGCAGCCCTATAAGCAGGAGTGAGCGGGTAGAGGGAGGGAAAATGCCGTGGTTTGCACTGGGAAGGGAAGGCATAATCCTGGGTGGTTGGGTGGGCCTGACAAATACAGACCTTGAAGGCCTAATGCACACCATATGTTCTATTTCCATGGGGGGGGGGTCTCGTGAGCCTCTCACGCTTGTCCCAAACTGAGACTTGAATCCCATTTTCTTATATCTAGATTGATGATAACTATCGCTCTACATGCTCAGACTCAAAAAAAAAAAAATCATAGAATTAGTCTTGACTTTCCGGCCCCCCTCCCAAACCACACTGAGTCCACTGGGAAGAATTACCCATATATAAGTGATGGTTCCAGATTCTAGAATGAAAGCCCTTCTACCCACTCCACTCATCCCCCTGGTTCAGGCCCGCGTCACATCCTACTTAGGTCACCATTATGGTCCCCAGATGACTGCCTGCTTCTAGTCTATGGCAGAGGCATACATTTGAGCCAGACTGAATCACTCCCCATTCTAAGGCCTTCATTGCAGGGGTCGGATCTATCTAAGTGAAAGGCCAACCTCCCTCCAGTCTCCTCTGCCTCTTCGATTCTCTGTTCTCTTCTGCTTCCTCTCCTCCCGGCCTCTCCCCCATGGCTCCTCCCTGTCTAACCTTATTCATCCCCTCGTTACCATGAGCCACGCTGTAACTCCACGGCCTTTGTAGTCTCTGTCCTTCTGTCTGGAATGCACTTCCCCCGGATACTGGGTTAGTTTCCTTAGACCTGTGTCTTTAACATCGCCTCCACCGTCTGAGTGTTGCTTCTCACTTAACCCTCAATGCATCGCTGTTTCTCCTGGCATTGGCCCTTTCTTGCTTATTTTTCTTCGTCACGTTAACGATGTTCATCTAACATCATTGTGTGTTTAATTTACGCCTGTCTCTTGCAACTCGAATGTAAACTCCATTGAGTATATTTGTCCATTGTCCATAACTGTAATAAAAATCTCTGATACTGTAGCCTTTTCGTAGTTCATAGTGACACACATTTAAGGACAAGGTGTTGGCATCATTTTGCTCTGCTATAGACCTCATGGGACTAACATCAGAATGATGGGAGCCTATGTGAGAAGGAGAGATCACAGGATGAGACAAGAAACTGGGAGAGCATGCTACTTTAACATCTGTGGGAACGCTTCAAGACACAGCAAACTCCAGCCATGCCCCACCTCTTAAAGGTCCCACCACATCCTAACTGATCCCCCCCGCATTAGGCACCACATTTCCGACCCATTGGCCTTTAGATGACACAGTTAAACCATATGCAAACCAGAACAACAAAGATCAGAACTTGTGTCTGTTTTATTGATTGCCTTAGAACAAGGCCTACCATATTTAACAACATATTTATGAATGAACGAGTGAATGAATGAATGAGTGGGTAGATGATGGAAATGTGAACAAGGAGAATGTTGAAAGTAGTCATAAGAACTGCAACAATAATAATACTTCCAGTTTTTGAAAAAGGACCTCACTAAGTAGCCCTGGCTGTGTAGATCTCACGGGGAATCTGCCTCTACCTCCCGATTGCTGGGATTAAAGGTATGGACCACAACACTTGGCTCAATAATAACACTTTTAAGTTTAAGCTTTTCTCTGTTTATTTGTTCATACCCTATCTGAGCGCAGAAAGACTCCCCTCAGCTGTCTATCTGTCTTTGCCTGGGTGTCTCCATCAGGTGGTAGTTCTGCAGTTTAACTGACCAGGGACATGCTTTCCATGGTGTCTTGGGTTTGAACTGTGTACAACCCCAAAAAGATAAGAAGTCATAGTCTCTAGGACCCTTGAATGTGACTTTATGTGAAAACAGGCCCTTTATGGAGATAGTCAAGCTGAAAGTGGGTCACTAAGATAGGCCCTTCTCCAATGGCTGATGTCCTTATAAAAAGGGAACATTTAGAGCCAGAGCCAGACACAGTCAGAGGGAAGTCAAGGCAAAGACGCACATAGAGAAGTTGGGCATGCAAGCAAAGATAGAGGCAGAGATTGGACGGATGGTACCACAGCCAAGGAATTCCTGGAGGTACTAGAAGCCGGAAGAGGCAAAGAACACGTTCTCCCTCGGAGTTCTCAGAAGAAACCACCCCGCCAGCGGGTGACCTATGCCAGCCTCCAAGAGAGGGAGACATCTGTTGGCCAAGACCACAGTTCACAGCGCTGTTTCAGCAGCCCTGGGGAACTAGCACAGGTGGAAGACTCAGCCTGACCAGGTGGGCACCCCGCCTTGGGTAGAAAATAGAAAAGCTCAGACTTCATCTTACCTAGGGGCTGACAGATGGGATGTGGAGATGAACAGGCTAGATATGGTAAGTTGTGAGCCTGGTAAGAAAGAGCAGTGTGGAGCCTGAGTGGGCACAGCACAGCAACGTTTGGGCATGGCCGTAGCCTCGTCCTTGCCACAAGCAAGTCACTGTCCTATCTAGGTCCTTAGGTTGTCACCAGCAAAATGAATTTCTTTTCTTTCTTCTGTTTTACAAAAGCTTTGTGTCTGTATGAGTGCATGCCATGGGCATACAGGCACCCCGCTGAGGCCAGAAGAGTTTGTCAGATGGAGCTAGAATTACAGGCAGTTGTGAGTTGTCTGGGAACTCAGCTCTGGTCCTCTGGAAGAGCAGCAAGTGCTCTTAACCACTGAGCCATTTCTCCAGACCCCCAAATAAATTTCTAGAACAGTGGTTCTCCACCTGTGGATCACCACCCCTTTGGGGTTCAATGACCTTCTCACCAATGACCATCAGCAAAGACTGATATTTACATTATGATTCAAAACAGTAGCAAAATTACAGTTACGAAGTAGCAATGAAAATAATTTTGTGGTTTGGGGCCACCACAACATGAGGAACTGTATTAAAGGGTCCCAGCATTAGGAAGGTTGAGAACCACTGTTCTGATTAGGAAGATTGAAAACCACTGTTATAAAGCATCTCTGGTCTGCAGCTGCAGCTGGCCCTCCATGCTCCATGGTCCTTTGATGTAGCAGGATTCTTAAAAGTTCTTATTAATAAAATCAAACCCGAGGCCAGTTATTGGGGTCCATGCTGGTAGATCAGAGAGACAGAACAAACCACAGCTATCTCACCTTGCCAATTCCTCAGCTGGTCCTGTTTCCTCAGACTGGAAGCTTCTCATCCCAATGAATCTCAGCTGAACTGTGTTGCTCCAAAGCCTGAAAGCTTAACCAGCCGAATGCTTAACCAGCCAAATCTTCTAGTTTCTGGTCCTCACGCCTTATATATCTTTTTGCTTTCTACCACCACTCCCTGGGATTAAAGGCTGGCTTTCTGGGATTAAAGGCGTGTGTCACCATGCTTGGCTATTTCCAGTGTGGCCTTTAACTCACAGAGATCCAGAGAGATTTCTATCTCTGGAATGCTAGGATTAAAGGTGTGAGTGCCACCATTTTCTAGCCTTTGTATCTAGTGGCTGTCTGTTCTCTGACCCCAGATAAATTTATTAGAGTACACAATATTTTGGGGAACACAATACCACCACACTTTGATATCTTGAAAGATCTGGGCATCAGCCAAAGGCCAGAGGTGAATACACTGAATACAATAGTGATTGGGAAAACATTTTTGAAATTGCTACTGATCTACTAAGCCCAATTCAACAATTTTAAAACCTAACATGTATCCCTCCACTGGCTTTTCCTTGGCATTCATTCCTAGCTTGGGTGGCACTATTGGCAAAAATGAATGATGAGAAGAGTTTGTGCTTGAGTGTGTACTAGGTCCAAAGTGGTTACAGCTAAATTCAGCCTTCTGAGATCTTTCAAGTTCAATTCACAAGCAGACATGGAGGGGGAAAAAAAATCACAAAAAGGAGAGTCTAAATGAAGATAATTTTTGGTCTGTTAGAAAATAGATTTGTACAGAAAGGCCCAAAAATAATGCATAATTGGCAAGCTTATTGTCAATTCTGCCACTTTAGTCCCAGCAGAATTATATGTCAGTTAGATAAACTGCTATAAATAATTATCGGCTGTGCAAAAATTAGATGCAGACAGAGAAGCGAGTGTCCTGCGGGATCTGAAACTCTGAAACATGCAGACTTGGAAACCACTCATCGCCTCCATGTCTGCCCTACGGTGACCCCAAGACGTGGTTGTGGAGGGGTGGGGTGGTGCCAAAGGCTAAAAAACGTCCAATCCGAGACACAGTGGTGCCTAAGTGAGAAATGGGCCTTGGAGAATATGCGTGAGACACCTGTTCCACTCAAGAAGTCAAAGTATGGACAAATAAAAAGGCCGTTTTTAAAAATCCGCTCAACACAGTCTGATGAGAACCAACCATTTCCCCGCAGTAGACTCGGGAGCTACAGGATGCACGTGGTCACCGCTGTTCTGAGCTTCTACATTCAGCTGAGTCCTGAAAACGGTGGAGGAAAGAGCGAACTGTTACCTCTGAGAGAGTAACCAGAACTTAAAGAAAGAACTCTTTGAAGCGGTGAAATGGAGAGCCGCCGCACCATGGGGAGCCAAGGCCAAGCAAAGCATCAGGGATAGCGCATGGGAAAGTCCCAAGACGGAAAAATGAAGTATCCAGAGAAAAATACGGAGGAAGAGCATAAACAAGACAGAGTTAAGGATCCAGAAGGACCGCAGACAATGGCCTGGCGAGCACTCTGCTTCACTGACGTTCTGTGAAGCTGGGGGTGCGCGTTACTTTCCCTAAGGTCTTACAGCCTCTTAGAAAGTCAACTCTGGATGATCCTATGTTGGCCACGTTCATCATCGCTCCACCTCCCTAGCCCTCTTTAATTTATTCCTCTTCCTGTCCAACTGAAAATGTGTTTAATTCGGAGTCTTCCCCCTCCCCTTTTCCTCCCCCACCCCCCTCCCTCTCCCCGCCTCTTTCTGTGTTTCAGCAAGGTCTCAGACAGTCCACACTGGTCTTGAGTTCACTCTGTAGCCCAAGGCGGCTTCCTACGTCTGAGCCTCCTGCCTTAGCCTCTGAAATTCTGGGACTACAGATGTGAGCCATGGCATCAAGATTTCTCTTTTCTTGAATAATAATTTTTTAAAATGTTGCTTTTCTTAAAATACAAGATTTCTGTGCTTAACGGGAATCTTGCTGTTTAAAGGGTTGCAGGGGAAGATTTTTAGCACTTAATTTTTTTTCTTGACATGTCATGCTGTTTGTAGAGACGGTCCTCATCATCTTTTTTTTTTTTTTTTTTTTTTTCTTTTGTAGCCATATGACACCCACGATGCCCATGACCGTGCCTTTTGACCCAGTCAGTTGTGGACGGCAAAGCAGTTGGACTATTTCCAGTTGTGGCCACGAACGGTGCCAGCGGCGTTGCGTGTGTGGAAGTGTGCTTATAGGAAAATGGGAAACACTCAGAAGTAGGGGTACTTGGCCAAAAGGCAGACGCTTCTGGGATCGGGATGGACTTGGCCAAATTTCCTTCTGTTCAGGTTTCGACAAGTGTAATTCTAAAATGAGATTTGAGGGATCATGTTTTCCTATAGCCATGTTCTTGAATGTCCCACAGGCTACGTGACTTCGTCCCAAATTAGAAACTGTCACCCAGCAGGGAACATTCTTGGCTTATCTGATTCTCAGAACCAGCCCTGGCTCCCTAGAGTTGCCAGAGCAGGCTAATACAGTTACCGTTTATTCAACAGAATCACAACCATGTACTTTAAAAACAAACAAACAAAAACCTCATACATACGTGATCATTAACACTAAGAACTTACATGTTCTGTCTTTCCTCACTGCTGAATAGTTCTCTGTTGAATTTCCCAACAATCCAGTGGCTACCGAGCAGGGATGCTTCCCACTTTTGTTATTATGCTGAAGACTGAATCTAGGGCCCTGTACTTGAGAGGCAGGCATCTACCGCAGATTCTACCTCAGAGCTGTTACTCCCAGCTAGCGAGGAGGCTGCACTAGCCAAGGTTTGCATAAGGTTATTCGCACTATGGAAGATCCCTCTGTCAAAATACACGCTGGGATGTGCGGGAAGTAGAGGGATGGCACCAGGGACATGCTGTCTTTGTGATCTCATTTTTCAAACCCTTCTGGCTAATGAGGCAGGAGGAGTTAATTGTCCACATCCGGTAGTGAAAGTGGTCTTGCTAGAATAAAGGAAATGAGCCCATAGGAAACTACACATTAGGCAGTGTTGTTGAGTTAATGGATGAAGGCTTTCTCTAAGGGAGGTGCTTGGCTCACTGGCGTCTGAATCGTTGAGACACGTGGGTTCTTAGACGGCACTTGATAAGGAAGGACTTATTCCAGTTCTCGACCAGTCTCTGTCACGGTGCTTGGTCTGTTTGGCATAATTATTGACAAAAGCGAAGCCATGTACTATGCCACGCAGATCAGTGCTCTGTAGGAAACATCTGGCTTCTCTTGCTTTGATTCCCAGAAAATCTTCCTCCCTTCTTTCCTTCCTTCTTCCCTTCTTTCCTTCTTTCCCTTCCTTCCTTCCTTCCTTCCTTCCCTCCCTGCCTCCCTCCCTCCTTCCTTCCTTCCTCCCTTCCTCCTCCCTCCCTCCCTCTCTCTCTCCCTCTCTCCCTTCTCCCCACCTCCCTGAACTTATTTTCTGGTGACAATTTTTCAAGCGTAGAAAAAGGAGGCAGTAAAAAGTGTGCTAGCCCACACATGTTCCCCACCAGCTTTAGCCGTTATCGCCGCTCCCGGGATGCGGATGTGGCCCAGGGGTAGAACCCTTGCCTAACATGCCCAGGGCCCTGGGTTTGATCCTGAGCACCACAAAAATAATGATACAGTAACTACTACCTCACACCCAATCTTGTTTCTTCTCTGATCCCAACCGATACTCCTCCACCTTCTGGAAACCTCGGGCAGTCCATTTGCAATGTTCAAGTACTAACACATTTCCAGTGCTCCTAGAGTTCTTCCTGCTCTGTGGAGAAGCAGATAAGGGAGGGAGGAGACTGAGGGCTCTATAGGGGTGTGGGGGGGGAGCATGTTTTGGAGGAAGGATGGCCTAGCTGGTGTATTACCCTGGGATGTACCAGTGGGGCGGGGGTACAATTCAGTCTAAGGTTCTTGTGTGCTTAGCCATAGGTTCTGTCCTGTCTCTTGCAGGGGGTGTCCCTGTTGAGTTGTGTAAGGGACACACAGGAAGGACCTTCCCTGAGACCATGCACTGACCTTGGAAGACAGTAACTTTAATGGGAACCCCTCTGAACATGATAGTTTTGGTACAAATGGGTACTTTGTTACAGTTTGAATATCATCCCAGATTTTTTCTAGTCCATCACAATTCGGCTTCTGAATTTCACCAGGCTCTTGTCCTGATTCCTCTACCCTATTCAACACTTAAATTCCAAAAAGCCCTCATCCCTTGAAGTCTTCATTAACCACCCTGAATTGGAAGATTGTTTCTTCCTTCTTTTAAATGCACATGTGAGCCTGTATGTGAGTGCATGTTAATCCGTGCGTGCATGCATGTGGCATATGGATGCCAGAGGACAAGCTCAGAAGTCATCTTCAAGATGACCATAAGACTTGAAGAAACTGAGCTGAAACAGACCTAGAAGTCTCCCTGGGGACCAGCTTTCATAGGATTCAAAGGTGCCGTGCAAGCTACCAACGGGGGAAAAGCGACCTACAGTCCTGTTCAGCTGTGAAGCCTGGGAAGCGCGGCCATGGGTCACCCCCAAGGGTGCAATAGTGGCACTCGCATCTCCAGGGTAACCAACAACTCTCCAACCAGACTTAAGACCAACTCTTAGAATTCCCAGTCACTCCTCCCGGCTACACGACTCAGTGTGCGTTGGCAAGACGCTTATTCATCACATCCTACATAGTCCGTGTACTGTGTGATCACATAATCCATGCGTATGCGTGTTGTAGCTGCATAAGCCCATATGTGCATGTGCAGGGGGAACCTATGAAAACAGATTCCACCTATTCCTCCCCTCTCTTCCTGCACAGTCATTCCATAGGCCTAAGCACATCTTTCCTATTCCCTTCCCTTAATAAACTCTTATAGCGGATTTCATTGTACCTCGTGGTTTTTCTTGCACAGTAAACAGTACCACTTAATGAATAACATTGCACCGCTTAATAAATAACACCAACTCTATAGAAGGGAATTCACGACCAGTACTGTTAACCTCACCAACTGTCCTTGCCTGTCTTAAACCAGTGTGATTTGTAATTGTATTCTAAATACTTATACCCACAGGTAAGGACAGCTCTCGCCTCTCATGAAAGAAGTTTGCTGTTGTTTTGCAGCAGAAGAGAACCATTATAAGAAACCACAACTGATCAAAATTAAGGGGAAAATAGATTATGGTATGCCCAACCCAAATTGATATATATCTACAATACGGCCTCCCCCCCTACTCCTAAGACTCGGGGAATATCATGGAATAGGGTATGGAAAGATTGTAAAAAGTCAGAGGATCAGCATGTCTGCTGTGGGAAAGTGTCTTCCGTATATGACAATGAAACTGTATCCATGAAATCTCAAAATGATGGTCACCTAAACAGGTCACCTAAACAGTGACGATACGAGTTGACATTCCAGTGTGGATGGGGGACATCTCATAGGTCCCACCACTAGATGAAGAGCTACAATTAAGAAACTACTAAGAGAGAGACTCAGTCTTCTCCAGGGAAGGACTCCCTGATGGAACGGATTTCCTTAGTGTTTACTCCTAAGTGGTCAGCTCTAAAAACATACCTGCACAAAAAACACTAAACGGACTCAGCAGGTAGTGTGTGTGTGTATGTGTGTGTGTGTGTGTATAAAACAATAATTAAAGAGTAGGTTATGAATTTGAGAGGGAATAGTGGAGGGACATGGGAAGAGTTAGAGAGGGAGAAGAAGAGGGAAATGATATAAATATAGTACTTCTGTATAAAGTTCTCAAACATTTAAATAAGTAAATAAATGAATAAATAAATAAATAAATAAATAAATAAATAAATAAATAAATAAATAAATAAATCAAGAACTCTGGCCATGTCCTTTGTGAGATGACCTCTCTCCAAACCCAGAGTCCACTGATTCGTCTCCACCTCCCCAACATGGGATGGCGAGTACACACCAGTATCCCCAGCACTTCGACATCAGTTCTGGATATCAAACTCAGTTCTTCGTGCTTGTGAATGAAGCATTCTACCACCAGCCACCCCCCTTTTTCTTACTCTTTAAGGAGAGAAATGACCATGTGTGCTATAATAATGTTATCTTGTGGAAAGAACAGAAACACTTTATTAACTGTCAGAAAATGTTACTTTATCATTCTTAGAGCCCCACTACGTAGGCATTTGGAATCTTCTAACACCCTAGCATCCTATAACCCGACTGCTATGGACCTAGCCAAACCTCGGGGCAAAATTGACAATAATGAAAACAAGGCAGTTTGCCTGAAGAGATCCTCATTTCACACACCAGGCACACAGAGAGCAAGAAGAAACCTCCAACCCCAGAAGGAAGCCATTCAGAATCACAGAGCTGCAGACCATTGTCTCAGATGAAGATTACGCTCCTGAGTGATTTTTGGTCCAGAAATGGAGGGCCTCTCACTGTTGAAAGGGCTTTTCATGAAACTGGCGAATTGCACAGTCTCATTTCTCCAGATTGTCATCTTTCCAACATGTTCCATTAGGAAAGCCTTTTCATCACTGGGTGAACTTTGCCTATAGGAGATTTATTTCCTCGGGCTTATGACACAGGGATGTCTTGTGAAAGATCATGGTTTCAGGGCGAGAAGGAAATAGTTGGGACACAGAGCTCTCATTTCTCAGCCTGGCCAGGGCCTCTTTTCCTATGCAATTGGTGGCTGACACCTCTTGTGGGGAAGCCTGCTGTGTGGGTTAGTTTTCCATCAAGTTGACCAAAGGGAGAGACGTTTGGGAAAAGCGACTCTCAATTGAGAAGAAACCCTCTATGATATTTGCCTGTAGGAAAATCCATAGTGCGTTTTCTTGATTAATGATTCATATGAGTAGGTTCGGGTAGGTTCGGCTCACTGTGGGCAGGAAGCAGCACTCCTCCATGACCTCTGCCTCAGCTCCTGCATCCGGGTTCCTGCATCCAGGTTCCTGCCTTGAGCTCCTGCCCTGACTTCTCTCAGTGATGAAGTTATCACCTGACAGTTATGAAACAAATCCTTTCCTCCCATAGAAACCCAAAGATACCTGCTAAACAAAGTCAGGTATGGTACAAGGTACCAGGGAAAAAGAGACAATGGGTTTATTTTCTCATATACATATATATATGTATATATACATATACATATATATATAAATAAAATTTCCTTGAGACAGGATCTCCCTCTGTACCCCAAGCTGACCTCATACTTGAATGTTCCTGTCTTAACCATCCAACTGTCAGGATTACAGGTGTGCACCACCTTGCCTGGCTTCTTGCCACATCTTTAAAAGCTTTATAGATTGGACAAAAAAATAGGAGAAAAATGGAAGCAAAGAAATATAAGTTACAACAGTCACAAATTACTTTTCCACCCACATGGCTGGGTGGAAATCTTTCTTTTTGGAGGTTGTTTTGAGTGTTATTCTCATTACTGTCTCACACACACACACACACACACACACACACACACACACACACACTTGACAAAAGCAAATTAAAAAATGTAGGGTTCATTTTTTTTTTTACAGTTTGAGGGCTGTCTTAGTTAGGGTTTCTATTGCTGGGAAGAGACACCATGACCACGGCAACTCTTATAAAGGAAAACATTTAAATGGGGCTGGCTTACAGTTTAGAGGGTTAGTCCATTATCATCATGGCAGGAAGCATGGTGGTGTGCAGGCAGACATGGTGCTGGAAAGGAAGCTGAGAGTTCTGGATCCACAGGCAGCAGGAAAAGACAGTGGACCACTAGCCTGGCTGAGCTTTTGAGACCTCAAAGCCGGCCCCCAGTGACACACTTCCTCCAACAAGGCCACACCTCCTAATAGTGGCACTCCCCATGGGCCTGTGGGGGTCATTTTCTTTCAAATCACCACAAGGACCTAGCTCATAATGGTAGGGATGCACAGCAGCAGCAGCTTAGGGCGGCAAGTCATATTGCAGCCACAGTCAGGATGAAAAGAGAGGTGAACACTGGTGACCCCCTGGCATCTACTTTTTATTCAGTCCAGGACCTCAACAGGTGTGTTTTCCTATTGTGGTTTAGGTAGGCAAGACCCTTTCTCATAACCTTGAATTACTTACTCAACTCATTTCTTTTTCAGAAAGTTGATTAGAGTAATTTAGCTAGTTGCTTGACTATCACATAGATAGAACATGGACTCCAAATGTGGCGGCATACTGAGACCAAAAGGCAGGGCTAATTCAGGACTTCTGTTGTGGTTTAAATGACAATGGCCCCATGAGCTCATATATTTGTATGCTCAGTCCCCAGCTGATGACATGTTTGGGAAGGATTAGGAGGTGTGGTCTTGTTAGAGGAGGTGTGTACCCTGGGGGTGGGCTTTGAGGACCCAGTGTCTCTTTCTCTCAGTCTCTGTCTCTGTCTCTCTCTCTCTGCCTGCTACCTGCACATCAGAAAGTAACTCTCAGCTACTTCTCCAGCACCATGTCTACCTCCATGCCACCATGATGATAATGAACTAAGCTTTCTCTTATAGGAGTCACCTTGGTCATGGTGTCTCTTCACAGCCACAGAATGTTAACTAGACAGCATCCACACTACAGTTGTTATTTTAACAGAAAGAATTGGATACGGCATAGTAACCATGTAAATGAAGCAGTCTTTTGTTACTGCTGCAAACAAGTATCACAGATGAAGTGACTCAGACAACGCAGATTTATTGAATTCATTTGATTTTTAATCGTGTGTGTGTGTGTGTGTGTGTGTGTGTGTGTGTGTGTGTGTTTGCGGGGGGGTAGTGTGTGGTGGGGGGTCAGGAGAGCTATGTGCACTTGAGTGCAGGTTCCTGAAGAAACCAGAAGAAGGCATCAGATCCTCTGGTGCTGGAGTTAGAGGCAGTTGTGAGCTGCCTGCCTTGTGTGCTGGGAAATGAACTCAGGGCCTCTCTAAGAGCAGTGCACGCTCTTAACGGCTGAGCCATCTCTCCAGCTCCCGACACAAATTTATTACCTCACAGCTCTGGAGTCAGACGTCTCAAATAGCTCTACTGGGTTGAATCAGCCCTGACAGAACCATGTTCCTTTTGAGGCTAATCCCCAGGGACAAGATGTTTCCTTGCCTCTTCTAGCTTCTAGAAGCCATCTGCACATCTTGTACCACCCCCCTCCCGCTCCCCATCGCTCCAACCCATACTTCCGTTCCTGCTTCTCTTGCTCCAACTCTGACCATCTTCCTCCCCCACACGAGGGCCCTGTGATGACTTGGGTATGGTAATCTTCCCATCTCAAATCAACTTAGTCGTATCTGCAAAGTACCTCTTGCCATGTTGGGTAACAGTCACAGGTTTGGGGGAGATCAGGAGGTGCCTCTCTTTGGAGAAGGGTTGTCCTAGAGAAATCTACAAGGAAAAAAACCAAAACGTTAAGGTCTTACACTTTCTAGACCGAAAAAGCAACTTTGGGGAGCACCAGGCTCCCTAGGGCTAGAGTAACAGATACTCTTAGAAGCTTTGAGATGGAACCCACAAAACCAAAATTCAGCCCTCTGAGAATGGGGTGCCAGTGGCCGGTGCTTCTGGAGGAGGACAGGGAGGCAAATGTGCCAAAAGGCAAAGGAGCTGCAGCCAGCTACATCCATCAGCTATGGAGGGAAGAAAGGGAGACTTCTGATGCTGACCGGAACAGACAGGAAGCCCCAGGGAAACCACAGCAAGGGACACGTGTCTCTCTCTCTCCTCCTTGACTGCCAGGTCTCCTGGAGTGCTCCTCACTGGCACAGCCTAAGAGGGGACCAGCTGGGGGAAAAAAATGTGTGGAAGGACCCCAGGTCCTGCATTATCATTCGGAGACAGAGATGAGTTTGAACTGCGTGGAATACATCATTTCAAACTTTCTGTAAAGA